ATATGTGATGTACAGTTGGCCCTCTATCCGTGGGTTCCCCATCCCAATTTCAACCAGCCCTGGGTGGAAAATATTTAAAAAATAATACAATAAAAATAATACAAAATAAAATGCAATGCAGTATATTTATATAGCATTTACATTGTATAAGGCATTATAAGCAATGTAGAGATGATTTAAAGTTTACATCATATAAGCTATTATAAGCAATCTAGAGACTGAAATGTAACGGGAAGTTTACAAATACAGTATATGCAAATACAGTAAATCTTCACTTAACATGGTCATGGAGAGGATCTTGGAAACTGCGACTTTAAACACAAGGATAGGCCAGGCATGGTGGTTCATGCCTGTTATCCCAGCACTTTGGGAGGCGGAGCTGGGCAGATCACTTGAGGTCAGGAGTTCAAGACCAGCCTGGCCAACATGGTGAAACCCCTCTCTACTGAAGATAACAAAAATTAACCTGGCATGGTGGTGGGTACTTGTAATCCCAGCTACTCGGGAGGTTAAGGCAGGAGAATGGTTGGAACCTGGGAGGCAGAGGCTGCAGTGAGCCAAGATCACACTACTGCAGTTCAGCCTGGACAACAGAATGGGACTCCTCAAAACAAACAACAAAAAAACCCTAGAAGGACATATAACAAAATCAATTTTACCATAGGCCTGTAATCCCAGCATTTTGGGAGGCCAAGGTGGGAGGATCGCTTGAGCCCAGAAGTTCAAGACCAGCCTAGGCAACATGGCTAAACGTGGTCTCTACCAAAAATACAATAATTAGCTGGGCATAGTGGCATGCGCCTGTAATCTCAGCTACTCAGGAGGCTGAGGTGAAAGGATCACTTGAGCCTGAGAGTTTGAGGCTGCGTGAGCTGTGATGATGCCATCATGCCACTGTACACTCCAGCCTGGGTGATAGAGCGAGACCCTGTCTCAAAAAAAAATTACCAATCTAACGCCGGCAAAAGTATGATTGTGTATGATGCTAAAACAGGGTGAGAGAGAAAGGATCCCCCCCCTTTTTTTTTTTGGAAAAAGTGTCTCACTGTGTCTCTCCCAGGCTGAAAGGATCCTCCCTGACTCAGCCATCTGAGTAGCTGGGACTATAGACACATGCCAACATGCCTAGCTAGTTTTGTGTGTATATATATGTGTGTGTATTTTTTTTTTTTTTTTTGTAGAAAAGGGGTTTTCCCATGTTACCCAGGCTGATCTCAAACTCCTGTAGGCAAGCGATCCTCCTGCTTCAGCCTCACAGAGTGCTGGGATTGTAGGCCTGAGCCACCTTGCCCAGTCAGGATACTCATTTCAAGAAAAACTTGACCTGGGAAGATAAAGTCTGGGTTGCACCCCTATTTCTATCAAGCTCAATTTAGTGTGGAGAATGTTTATAGAAAATTATGAGTATTCTGTCAGTGAATAATCTACGTACAGTCTGTGAAGCCTCAAGTCAATCAGGAGCAGAATTAGCAGTTGTCTGCAGGTGAGTTGCTGCCTTTTGAGAACATAGTGAAAAAGTATGTGACAAAGCTGCTAAATCTAGGAGATACAGTTTGATAGTCTGAGAAATCTGTACAGTTCTTCTACGAGGTGACATTCAACAATGGATCCCAAGATTCTCTTACTCATGGAGAAATGAGAGAAGTATATCACTTAACTTGGACCATTCTCAGACAGGACAGAGGAAGCTATAGCTGTTTTGTTTGAAGTACTTCTAGGCCAAAAATAAAAATAATGACATGGGGTTATATGTCTGCTGCAACTGTCAGTTTAGGCTGCTGTAACAAAGTACCATAGTCTGGGTAGCTTAAACAACATTTATTTCTCACAATACTGGAGGCTGGAAGTGTGAGGCCAGAGTGTTAGCATGGTTTAGGTTCTGGCAAAGGCCCTTTTCAGGGTTGCAGACCGGTGACTTCTTCCTATACTTTCTTGTGAAGGGGAAAAAAATGGCTAGAGAGCTTTCGGGGGTCTCTTTTATAAAAGAGCGCTAACCTCATTCATGAGGACCCCACCCTCATGATCTACTGATCTCCCAAAGGCCATATCTCCTAATACCATCACATTAGGGTTTAGGATTTCAACATACTAGTTTTCAGGGAACACAAACATTCAGTCCATTGCAATATATAAGAAGCAAAATAGAGTAGGGAAACTAAAGTTGATACCTGTGGGTTGAAAAGATACGCCATTTCTTTCTTGCACAAAAACATCTCATTATGGGCCAGGCATGGTGGTGGCTCAGGCCTGTAATCCCAGCACTTTGGGAGACCAAGGCGGGTGGCTCACGAGGTCAGGAGTTCAAGACCATCCTGGCCAACAGGTGAAACCCTGTCTTTACTAAAAATACAAAAAGTAGCTGGGCGTGGTGGTGCGTGCCTGTAATCCCAGCTACTCGGGACGCTGAGGCAGGAGAATCGCTTGAACCAGGGAGTCAGAGGTTGCAGTAAGCTGAGATCATGCCACTGCACTGCGGCCTGGTGACGGAGTGAGACTCTGTCTCAAAAAATAATAATAATAAAATAAATAAAATAAATAAATAAATAAATAAATAAATAAAAATAAAATGAGCTGGGTGAGGTGGCTCAGGCCTGTGATCCCAGGACTTTGGGAGGCTGAGGTGGGCAGATTACCTGAGGTCAGAAGTTTGAGACCAGCCTGGCCAACATGGTGAAATCCCATCTCTACAAAAATACAAAAAATTAGCCAGATGTGGTGGCACATGCCTGTAATATCAGTGCTTTGGGAGACTATTATGGGAGAGCATTTGAGGCCAGGAGTTCAAGACCAGCCTGGGCAACATAAATAAGACTTTGGCTCTACAAAACTAAAAAAATTAACCCAGGCATGATGACGCATACCTGTGTCTTAGCTACTCAAGAGACTGAGGCAGGGGGATCCCCTGAGCCCAGGAGTCAGGCTACGATGAGCTATAATCAAGCCACTGCACTCCAGCCTGTGCAGCAGAGCAAGACTGTCTTTAAAAAAAAGAAAAATGGTATAGGGAGTCATGGAAAAATGTGAAAAATAAAAGAAAAAAAGAGAAAAATCAGAAAAAACCCTGTCTTATCAGGTGCTCTGACTAGAAAAAAATGAAGAATCTACAGCAAAGTCAGTGAATCTATTTCAGTAGTTCTCAAACTGAGGGCAGTTCCCCCCTGCCGAAGACATTTAGCAATTAAGTGTTGTCTATCAAAACAACACTGTCAGCTAATGTCAGAATGAGAGCACACTACAGGTAGATCAGAAGGTGAAGTATATCAGAAGTATAATAACAGCTAACATGGAAACACTTTTGGTTCTTGCAGCTGGTTGGGGAGGGGGTGCCATAGACATCTAGTGGCAGAGGCCAGGAGTGCTGTGAAACATACTGCAATGCATAGGATAGCCCCCTATGTCAAAGAATGAGAAGCCTACGATGTCAATATGCAGAGATTGAGAAACTCTGATCTATTTATAAATATTTTAAATTATCCTAGCCCAATAAAGGGGAGAAGAGAGAGCGAGAGAAAACGAGTACATGAGCAAGTACACTGTACCTCAACAAGGTCAGTGCTGCTTTTATTTTTATTTTTATATATTTATTTTTGAGGCAGGGGCTCGTTCTGTCACCCAGGCTGGAGTACAGTGGCACAATCACAATTCACTGAAGCCTCAACCTCCCTGGCTCCAAGTGGTCCTCCTGCTTCAGCCTCCTGAGTAGCTGAGACTGCAGGTGTGCACCACTGCACCCAGATAATTTGTTTTATTTTCTGTAGCAACAGGGTCTCACCATGTTGCTGAGGCTGGTCTCAAACTTGTGAGTTCAAGCAATCCTCCAGCCTTGGCCTCCCAAAGTGCTGGGATTATAGGCATGAGCCCCAGGGCCCAGCCCTGGGAGATGTTTTAAAATGTATTTTTAGAGCTGAAGAAATTCCTCTCTGAAGAGATCAAATCATCATCATAAATGCATTAATAGCAAATTCTCAGTACTTTCCCTGCTTTCAGGTGGTATTATGTTTAAACCATTTCAAGCTGGTTTCTACGTGCTTATTGAGAATGTCAGATCAAATAGCAGATAGACTATAAGCCCAGACAGATGAGGAGGTGAAGGTAATTATAATAGCTAACATTTATTGGGCACTTATTATGTGCCAGGAACTTTCTTTTTTTTCTTTTTTTTTTTTTCTTTTCTTCTTTTTTCTTTTGAGATGGAATCTCGCTCTGTCACCCAGGCTGGAGTGCAGTGGCGCGATCTTGGCTCACTGCAAGTTCTGCCTCCTGGGTTCACGCTTTTCTCCTGCCTCAGCCTCCCGAGTAGATGGGACTACAGGCACCTGCCACCACGCCTGGCTAATTTTTTGTATTTTTTTAGTAGAGACAGGATTTCACCGCGTTAGCCAGGATGGTCTTGATCTCCTGACCTCGTGATACACCCACCTCGGCCTCCCAAACTGCTGGGATTACAGGTGTGAGCCACCACACCCGTCCTGTGCCAGGAACTTTTCTAAACATGTTATAATATCTATTCATTTAATTTTCACAACAGTCCAATGACGTAGTCATTATTATTGCCATTTTAAGATGAGGAAATAAATACAGAAAGTTAAGGTATTTGAGAATAAAATGAAAAGAATTCAAGGATATCCCAGAAAATAATTAATAACCTAATTGAATGAATGAAATGTGAAGTAGTTTCCTAGAAGGAATAAACTTTTAGTTTTTATTTCTTTCCCTTCCTTTCTATTCAAATATAAATTCCAGAATATTAAGTAAAAGAAATTCGATTCACTACTACTTATTTATTTAATATTTATTTAACCATGCTATTGTCTTTTTTTCTTTTTCTTTTTTTGAGATAGGGCTCTCACTCTATCAACCAGGCTGGGAGTGCTGTGACACAACCACAGCTTACTGCAGCCTCAACCTCCCAGGCTCAAGCAATCCTTCCCCATCAGCCTCCCAAGTAGCTGGGACTACAGGTGCATGCAATTACACCCAGCTAATTTTTGTATTTTTTGTAGAGACAGGGTTTTGCCATGTTGCCCAGACTGGCCTCGAACTCCTGGGCTCAAGCAGTTCACCTGCTTGGGCCTCCCAAAGTGCTGGGATTACAGGCATGAGTCGTCGTGCTCAATCCTATTATCTTTACCTAGGGAAATGCAAAAGTAAAAAATTTATTTCAATAACTGGTATAACATTTGCCCAGGCACTGAAAATTGCCACAGTTCATGAAATATTTTCTTAAGAGTGGTATAGCATTATTTGGCAGTACAACTCTTTATTCGTAATGTTACTAGAATCTGAAGATTTTCAATATTTAAAACACTTTTAACATGAAAAGTGAAATGAAAAATATTACATAAATATATGAGCCATTACAGTCGTAATTTCAGCAGTTGAATCCCCGTAGATGAAAGTGTATGCCAGTTAGCTAAAAAAAAAAGTAAAATGATATATATGTATAAAGGATCCCTGACCCTAACTTTGGATGGTGTGACACAATTTTTCACCTCTATGATGGGGTATAGAAGTAATTTCCATTCAGTAGAAACTGTACTTTGAGTCCCCATACAGTGTTCAATAAATTACATGACATATTCCACACTGTTTTTTATTTTTTTTTTCAGACGGAGTCTTGCTCTGTCACCCAGGCTGGAGTTCAATGGCATAATCTTGGCTCACTGAAACCTCCACCTCCTGGGTTCAAGCGACTCTCCTGCCTCAGTCTCCTGAGTAGCTGGAATTACACGCATGCGCCACTACTGCCCGGCTAATTTTTGTATGTTTAGTAGAGATGGGGTTTCACCATATTAGTCATGCTGGTCTTGAACTCCTGACCTCGTGATCCACCTGCCTCGGCCTCCCAAAGTGCTGGGATTACAGGCATAAGCCACCGCAGCCGGCTGATATATCCAACACTTTATTATAAAATAGGCTTTGTGTTAGATGATCTTGCCCAACTATAGGCTATTGTAAGTGTTCTGAGTGCCTTTACTGTAGGCCAGCCTAAGCTATGATGTTTGGTAGATTATGTGTATTTCTTTTTTTTTTTTTTTGAGACAGAGTTTTGCTCTTGTAGCCCAGGCTGGAGTGCAATGGTGGGGTCTTGGCCCACTGTCACCTCCGTCTCCTGGGTTCGAGCGATTCTCCTGTCTTAGCCTCCCAAGTAGCTGGGATTACAGGCGCCTGCAACCATGCCCGGCTAATTTTTTGTATTTTTAGTAGAGACAGGTTTTCACCATGTTGGGCAGGCTTGTCTCGAACTCCTGACCTCAGGTGATCTGTCCACCTCGGCCTCCCAAAGTGCTGAGATTATAGACGTGAGCCACCGCGCCCGGCCTGGTTATGTGTGTTAAATACATTTTCAAGTTACTTGGCCGGGTGCGGTGGCTCACGCCTGTAATCCCTGCATTTTGGGAGGCTGATGTGTGTGGATCACAAGGTCAGGAGTTCGAGACCAGCCTGGCCAACATGGTAAAAACCCGTCTCTACTGAAAATACAAAAATGAGCTAGGCGTGGTGGCACATGCCTGTAATCCCAGCTACTCAGGAGGCTGAGGCAGGAGAATCGTTTGAACCTGGGAGGCAGAGGTTGCAGCGAGCCGAGATTGCACCACTGCACTACAGCCTGGACAACAGAGTGAAACTCTGTTTCAAAAAAGTAAAATTTTCAGCTCCTAAGTTGAAATGGTTTTATTGGGATGTAACCCATCATTTAAGTCCAGGAGCATTTGTATAAGCATAAGATCATAATATCCTTATTTACCAGCTCTTTTTATAATATTTATTCAATTCCATGGGTATGTAAAACATTTTTTGTTTATGAATACATTCATTCCTCTTCTCCTTTTTCTTTTCTTTTCTCCTTTTTTTTTTTTTTTTTTTTTTTTTTTTTTTTTTAATACAGAGTCTTATTCTGTCACCCAGGCTGGAGTGCAGTGGCATGATCTTGGCTCAATACAACCTCTGCCTCCTGGGTTCAAGGTCCTGATTCTCGTGCCTTAGCCTCCAGAGTAGCTGGGATTACAAGCACCCATCACCACGCCTGGCTAATTTTTGTATTTTTGGTAGAGACAGGGTTTCGCCATGTTACCTAGGCTGGTCTAGAACTTCTGGCCTCAAGTGATCCACTCACCTCAGCTTCCCAAAGTGATGGAATTACAGGTGTGAGCCACCATGCCCAGCTTCCCTCTTTCTTTTCACTTGGTAATATTAAAAAAGAAAAAAGGAGGGCTCTTGGAATTGAAGAAATCAAGGAAAATTCTCTTCTCACTAAACACTTCCCCAAAAAACATTGTGAAGGTTGTCAAAGGGGCTTTTTTTAAAACTAGGCTTTGAATCTTGGATACTTACTCTTTTCTAGATGAATACAATAATCTGCTGGATATCAAGTAGTAGTAGTTGTTGCTTGTAAGAAAACAACTGAATTTACCATTTATCAGTATCTACTACTTGCCAGATGCTTTGTGTATATATATATAGAGAGAGAGAGAGAAAGAGAGAGAGTCATAAATAACTCAGAAATAGGGCCAAAGTCATTTAAAATTTCTAAATGTTTGAATGTCTAATAAAATTAAAAGTGAGATTTTAAAAATCTTGTTTACAGTGAAATCTTGCTTATGCCATAACACCATGAATCCAGAGAATGTATGATTTTATAAATTTAAACTAAAATATTTTCCTGATTTATCCAGATAAGTATTTCATGGCACTTTTTTTTTTTTTTTTTCCTGAGGCAGAGACTCGCTCTGTTGCCCAGGCTATAGTACAATGGCATGGTCTCGGTTCACTGTAACCTCTGCCTCCCAGGTTCAAGCCATTCTCCTGCCCTTAGTCTCCCAGGTAGCTGGGATTACAGGCGTGTGCCACCATGCCTGGCTAGTTTTTATTATTTATTTTTTTATTTTTGAGATGGCATCTCCCTCTCTTGCCCAGGCTGGAGTGCAGTGGAGTGACCTCAGCTCACTGCAAGCTCCGCCTCCCGGGTTCACACCATTTTCCTGCCTCAGCCTCCCGAGTAGCTGGGACTACAGGCGCCTGCCACCACGCCCGGCTAATTTTTTTGTATTTTTAGTAGAGACAGAGTTTCACCGTGTTAGCTAGGATGGTCTCGATCTCCTGATCTCGTGATCTCTGCCCACCTTGGCCTCCCAAAGTGTTGGGATTACAGGCGTGAGCCACTGCGTCCAGCCATGCCCAGCTAGGTTTTGTATTTTTGGAGGAGACAGGGTTTCACCATGTTGGCCAGGCTGGTTTTGAACTCTTGACCTCAGGTGTTCCGCCCACCTTGGCCTCCAAAGTGCTGGGATTACAGGCATGAGCCACTGGTGCCCGGCCTTTTTGTTTTTTGGGTTTTTTTGTTTGTTTGTTTGGAGACAGGGTCTCGCATTATCACTCAGGCTGGAGTGCAGTGGTACGAACATGGCTTACTGCGGCCTCAACCTCCCTGGGCTCAGGTAGTCCTCCCACCTCAGCCTCCCAAGTAGTTGGGACCACAGATATGCATCACCATGCCCGGCTAATTTTTGTATTTCTTGTAGAGATGTGGTTTCACTATGTTGCCCAGGCTAGTCTCAAACAACTTCTTGTTAGAGACCATATTGTCCAGACTGGTCTCGAACTCCTGAGCTCACCAATCTGCCCACCTCGGCCTCCCAAAGTAGTGGGATTACAGGTGTGAGCCACCATGCCCGGGCTCATGACATTTTTCTTTGCCTACCAAAATCCAGTTCATTGGACCCTTAATAAAAGTATTTTAATATATTTTAATTATTTTTAAACCTACTCTGAGATTGAAGGCTGAAGTATTTGAAAATATTTCATAAGTTTTTCCTATGTATATCAAATTATACCAAAGAACACATTGAAAGTAATTTGCCTAATAATTTAACTATAAGTTTTCTATAGAACCTAAATATAATTACTAATGTCCTACATAGTCTTTTCTTTTCAGATTGTGTTTACATCATGACAAGCAGCGCTTCTTTCTCTTTACGAGGTAAGAACAATTCCCCAACAAGAGTTTGACAGTGGGCCGGGCGTGGTGGCTCATGCCTGTAATCCCAGCACTTTGGGAGGCCCAGGCGGGCAGATCATGAGGTCTGGAGATCGAGACCATCCTGGCTAACATGGTGAAACCCCAAACCCTGTCTCTACTAAAAAAATTAGCTGGGTGTGGTAGCACGGGCCTGTAGTCCCAGCTACTTGGGAGGCTGAGGCAGGAGAATCACTTGAACCAGGGAGGCGGAGGTTGCAGTGAACCGAGATTGCACCACCATACTCCAGCCTGGGTGACAGACTCCGTCTCAAAAAAAAAAAAAAAAAAAAAAAAAGAGTTTGACAGTGAATTTGAGAAAACGAGAGCACAAAATGAGCATGTAAGATGGGCAAGTGTGCATGAAGCTGAGGCTGGGGCAGAATGGCAACACTGAAACAACTGGGCCACCTCTGCAGCTGGAGGGGCTGTGTAATTGCAGGCTGGGCGGCTCAGGCTTAGTGGAAGCCATGTGCTATCCAGAAGGCTGAGTCAAAACAAGCAGACATGCCAGGCTGAGGAAATAGAAAACAGCGCAGGGTTGTCCTTCAGAGGCAATTAAGTGGGAGATAATTAAGATCACAGACTTAATTACCCAGGTGGTATTTGCATTCCTCCAGGCAGAAGCATCATGGTTGTGATAGACCAGTGGGCTCAACCAAGGAAGCTATGGAGAAGAAGTAAGAAGATTTTGTAAGAAGATATACAGCAGTATAAACAGTTTCAGCGTCTTCCTCCCTTCCTCTCTTACCAGGATACAAACCTCCCCATCACATGCAAACTTCTCAGATTTCCAGGAGGCCAAGAAACCAATGCTGTACACAGATCAGTCCAAAGGTTTAGAGAGCTTCCATCCACTGACTCTTTCCAGCATTTTCAAAATCCAGGATGGTCCACAATGGCCTGTTTTGTAAGTTCATGCTTCCATTCCATGGCTAGAAAAGACTGGAGGCAGCTCAATGGAATTCTTCACCCAGTCGTGTACAATCTTATTTTCTAGTAGGGTCAGCTCTGATGCTAGAGAAAGATACAAAGAGACAAAAGGTAGTCCTTGAAATAAGTAAGCCTGGGAAAGACCAGCAAGGGGTCGTTGGACGTTTAAACAACTCTTCATCACCTTTCCATCAAAAGAGTTTACTTGTTCCTAAAACCTCATTGAAAATGTGGAATGTGGCCTTTTGGGGCTTCCACGTTCCTATTATCCTGTTACAGAGCTCAGCACAGCTATCTGGACACTCTGGCTGAATCCTTGTTGTGAGTGATGTGAGTGCCCTTCCATGGACTGGAACCAAGAAAGGAAGAACAAGCCTTCCCTTTCCTTTCTGCCATGGTCTTTTCACATTCCAAAGCAGTTCTCTCCAGAGAGGACCCAGAGGACTGTAGGCAGCCCTAAGGCCATCAGGGGCAACTCCTAGAAGAATTATCTTCTGGTCGCTTCCTTTAGGGAAGCAAAACTGAGGATGAAGCCAGTGTTTTTTCTCCCTTATAGTTTTTCTCACGGATGAATGGTGTGGGTGAGAAGAGTGCTTTCAGACATTTAAGCTTGAGTGGGACTGAAAAATTTGCAAGTGAAAGATACATTGCCAGGTGAGGGTGGGGGTTAGGGGAAGGGTAGCTAGGGGAGGAAGAGAGGACCCCTAAAGGACCTAAAGGGTCAAAAAGAGAGCCAGTAAGGAGGACAGAGTAAACGGAGCTTCCAAGACAAACTCTGCCTGTCCTGGAATCTAGAGAAAGAAGTAGAATCACATGCAGATCTAAAAAGGCAACCAGCCGGACATCATAATGAGGTTCTCGGTAGGAGAGCATGAGAGAATTTGCTTTTATTGGCCCCAGCAAACATGAAATGCGCAAGGTCTTATGCATAACATAACTTCATTGGTTGTTGAAGGCTGCAACCAAACAACTTATACTGTGGAAATAACTGAATTACAGAAAAACACACAAGATTTACTCAGAGGACAAGAACACCTTTATTTATGAATTCCACATCTATATTTCAAATTCTGCTCCTACAGGAGACATATGACTGTGCAATAACTCCACAATGTGGAGAGAGGGGTTTGAGCTGTACCAGAAAAAGTGAATTTCACAGGACCAAACAATATTTTTATAAATGTTGCCACATTTTAAAAAAATTGTAGTAGTAAAATGGGACAGAGAAAAATGTTTGGAATCAGAAGATCTGGATTCTCCTCCCAGTTCTGCCCTTATTAGAGATCTTTGCCTTTTATGATCAAACCACTAGAAGGTTCCTAAGATCTTTTCTGGCTCAATGATAATACTTAACTTCTGTGTATTCTTTTCTTCTTAAAGATGAAAGTATATAAAGAGAAGTGTAGACTTTTTTTTTTCTACTGAGAATTTGTGAATGTGAAGCTTAAGGAAGTTTAAGGAAGCATTTTCCATACTAATTCAGTCAATTATTCACTTAAATAATATTTTTTTGAGTCCCACCATGTTTTATGTGCTGTGCTGGGGCTGGGAAGACAATGATTATTTCCGTAGGCAGAAAAGGACCGAACAATAGTAATGTTTTTCCAATAATTGGATCTATAATAAAGTAATCACACATTGTTTTATACATTTAATGTTTAGATTTGTTAAAATTTAATTGTTTAAATTTTAAAGTTTTATCCTTAACAAGTGGGGGGTTCATTTAGTTGTATTGTTGGATTTTTTGTTGTTAAATACCTGGGAATTATTATTTATTTATTTATTCTTTGAGACAAGGTCTCACTCTGTCTCCCAGCTGGAGTGCAGTAGCATGATCTTGGCTCACCACATTCTCTGCCTCCTGGGTTCAAGGGATTCTCATGCCTCAGCCTCTCAAGTAGCTGGGATTGCAGGTGTTCACCACCACACCTGGCTAATTTTCTTTTTTTTTATTTTTTGAGATGGAGTCTTGCTCTGTTGCCTAGGCTGGAATGCAGTGGCACAATCTTGGCTCACTGCAGTCTCTGCCCCCAGGGTTCCAGCGATTCTCCTGCCTCAGCTTCTTCAGTAGCTAGGATTACAGGCACATGCCACCACACGGGGTAATTTTTGTATTTTTAGTAGAGATGGGGTTTCGCCATGTTGGACAGGCTGGTCTTGAACTCCTGACCTCAGGTGATCCACCTGCCTCGGCCTCCCAAAGTGCTGGGATTACAGGTTTGAACCACCACACCCAGCCAAGTGTTTTAATTTTTGGTAGAGACAGGGTCTCACTGTGTTGGCCAGGCTGGTCTTGAACTCCTGACCTCAAGTGATCCATCGACCTTGGCCAGGCTGGTCTCAAAACTTCTGAACTCAATTGATCCACCCACCTTGGCCTCCCAAAGTGCTGGGATTACAGGCATGAGCCACCACACCTGGCCTGTTGTGTTTTTTTTTTTGTTTTTTTGTTTTTTGTTATTTGTTTTTGTTTTTGTTTTTGGGTGGTGGGTAGTGGGACAGGGTCTTGCTTGGTCTCCCAGGCTGGAGTGCAGTGGTATGATCATGACACACTGCAGCCTTGACTATCTGGGCTCAAGCCATCTTCCAGCCTCAGCCTCCCAAGTAGCTAGGACCACAAATGTGCACCACCACGCCTGGCTAATTTTAAAAATTATGTGTAGAGATGAGGTCTCATTGTATTACCCAGGTTGGTCTTCAGCTTCTGAGCTTAAAGGATCCTTCCACCTTGACCTCCCAAAGTGCTGGGATTACAGGCATGAGCCACCATGCCTAGCCACCAGGGAGTTTTTTCACTGAATAATCTTGAAAGAAGTCTTTGAAGAGAGTTCAGAATCACTTGGTTAAAAATATGTATTGATAATCCACTCCGTGCCATGCTCTGTTGTAGGTGGTGAGGATAGGGTAGGAAATAAGTCAGGCAGAGCTCCTGCCCTCCAAGAACTCATACTTTTGGGTCCATTAAAATATGATAATTTTAAACTAGTATGCATTTATGCAATTAAAATTCTGTAGCATGCTAGTCAATTGCCCAAGCTTCATAAGATGGGTCTGAAATTTTAAAAGTGATTTTTAAAAATAATTTAAGACTTTTTTTTTATTTAAACAATTTGTGACAAATCGCCACTTTTTCTAGCACTGCTGTTAGTGTTCATTTTAAGAAAATGAATGTGACCATGCCATTTTCTCTTCTCTTCCCCAGCTCTTCATCCCTCCCTCCCACTACCCCCTGCCAAAAAAAAAAAAAAAAAAAAAATCCTTCTTCCAGGCATGGTGGCTCATGCCTGTAATCCCAGCACTTTTGGAGGCTGAGGTGGATGGATCACTTGAGGCCAAGAGTTCAAGACCAGCCTAGGCAGCATAGCAAGACCCCCATTTCTACAAAAAATACAAAAATTAGCTGGGTGTAATGGTGTGCCTGTAGCCAGCTACTGGAGAGGCTGAGGCAGGAGGATCACTTGAGCCCCAGAATCCCAGGAGGCTGCAGTGAGCTATGATTGTGCCACTGCACTCCAGCCTGGGCAACAGAGACCCCATCTTAAAAAATAATCCCGGTCAGGCGTGGTGGCTCACGCCTGTAATCCCAGCACTCCCAGGAGGCCAAGGTGGGCGGATCACGAGGTCAAGAGATTGAGACCATCCTGGCCTCTACTAAAGATACATCCTGGCCTCTACTAAAAATACAAAAACTTAGCTGGTGTGGTGGCACGTGCCTGTAGTCCCAGCTATTCGGGAGGCTGAGGCAGGAGAATCACTTGAACTGGGAGGCAGAAGTTGCAGTGAGCCGAGATCACCCCACTGCACTCCAGCGTAGAGACAGAACGAAACTCTGTCTCAAAAAATAAAAAAATAAATAAATAAAAATAAAAAAATCCTTCAGTGGCTACTCATTACCTTAAAAGAAAAGAAACCCCAACTCCCTAACAAATCAGACAAGGTGCTTGGTGACTGGGCACTGGCTCCCTCAGTCCTGCTCGTGCTGTCCACTTAGGCCACACTGATTGCTGTTTCCCAGAGTAACATGCTCTCCAGCTCTGGGCCTTTATGCATTCAGCTCCCTCAATCCAGAATGTTCTTCACCCCATCCCTCCAGTGTCTTTGCTGATTACCTGGACTTGATTCATCCATGACCCTCACTGTTACTGTGCCTACATCCATCCTGGGACTTGCCTGCTGCAGTGCAATGGCCTACTTAAACATCCATCTCCTGACTACATGGAGAAGTTCCAGGGTGGTGCATAGGACCTAACATGAAGATGCCTTTAATAAAAGATGTTTTGAGGAAATAAATGAAGTAATGAATATATTTCTTCAGATAACACTCCAAGCAGGGTGAACAGCATGAGGGAAGGCAAGCAAGGTGAACTGGGGACTCTAAAAGGAATACAGAATGGCTGGGGACATTCAGAGATGCGACAAAAAGGAGAAGCAAGAATACTTTCAGTCAGTTAGACAACTTAGACTTCATCCTGAGGACAATGGTGATTTATTAAAGGGCTTTAGATTAGCATTTTAGAAAGAACATTCTGGGCCGGGTGTGGTGGTGTGCAGCAGTAGTCCTGGCTAATTGGGAGGCTGAGGTGGGAAGATTGCTTGAGTCTGGGAGGTCCAGGGTGCAGTTTGCGACCATACCACTGCACTCCAGCCTGGGTGACAGAGCAAACCCTGTCTCATGTTAAGGGGGAAACAAACAAACAAACAAAAACCATTCTGAAGAACAGGTTTGAAGCAAATAAGACTGAGGACAAGGAGATATGTTATAGTGACTATTACGGAAAACCAAGGGAGAGCTGGGGCTGGATTGAAGTAATAAAGCAGCCTTGAGGATGGCAGGAAGTGGAAAGATTGAAGAAATGTTAAGGGATCAGAATTGTCAGAACTTGGTGGTTCATTGGCTGTGCATCTTCCCTCCCAGTTTTTTGGGGTTTTTTTCTTTTTTTAGATTGAGTCTCGCTCTGTCGCTCAGGCTGGAGTGCAGTGGCACGATATCGGCTCACTGCAACCTCCACCTCCCGGCTTCAAACGATTCTCCTGCCTCAGCCCCACAAGTAACAGGGACTACAGACGCCCGCCACCTTGC